CGTGTTTCGAAGCTTGTTGAGTATCGCCATTCCAAAATTACGTTAAAAGAATCTGATTTCTGATCCATGGTGAAAGCATTAAGAAGAAAAGACATTAAGAACCTGACTGATCACGGAATATTTTGTGATTAAATAACTTCACTAATAAGACCTTTATGACCTCTTATTTCACAAATAGCATAATCGATAGTATTTCGACTAATTTATGTTAATCTTTTTTAATGAGTGACATAATAACTATAAAGAAAATTTACATGAAGACCAACTGATTACTAATAAGTTTCAGTCAAAATATTTCCGGTTAGAGCATCTGTGAATTAAAGCGTCGTAAAAATCATGCAGCTAGATAGAAACTGAGATCGGGGGCGAATGTTCGACTCACTTTCTTGTCAATCCGCAGCGAAAATAATTATCTTGTGAAAAATACAGTCAAAAAACTGCCGTTGCTCTATTGACGTCGTGATTTCAGAAAATCGGCTACGTGTGTCGTGGAAACAAGGACTGCCCGGTGACCAAGTTCCACCGCAACCGCTGCCAGTACTGCCGGCTGAAGAAGTGCTTGGCAATGGGCATGCGAAGTGAGTGTACGTATTCAGAAGTAAGAGAATGTCTAATCCGCATCAACTCATGCCTAATTTCAGCGGTGCAAGCTGAACGCAAGCCGGTTTCCTCCAGCCGATCCTCGTCGTTCGGTTTCGTAACGTCGCCAGATCTGTCTGTCGCGTCCGCTGCCTCCGGTTCGGCCTCCGCCGCCGCAGACTGTTCGAAGCTCGCCGACAGCACGACCACTGACAAATCGCCTCCCCCCACTTCCGGCAGCGACTCGCAGGTAAATTACTGTTTATACCGCAACATATATAATGTATGTATATATATGTACCCCCAATGCGGTCATTAATGTCAGTTAATGTTAATATAATTATACATGTCCTTAATGTTAGTTATGCCCATTTCAAGGACAGGTATACAATTGATGGCCTTATCGCTTTGTTTCCTTCTTGGAGACAGACTCGCCTGGAAAAGACTCCTCAGCCAACTGACCCTTTTAGAGACCCACGCTTTAACGCTTATGGCCGCCTGGCAACCACGCTGGATTTGTGTAAAACGTAAGTGCATCAGCAATACACCAATGTACCTGCACATTGCTTCGAAACAGTTCACTGCGTTTGCATCTGCACTGTCCATTTCCCAAGATCAGCCTTACCGTACTGTACAGCATGTAATATTTTGCGCCTTAACGCAGTTCACCTGCTACCGATAATCACATCGTTGCTACAATCAGTCGTTTATCTTATCTTTAAGAAAGCCCTTAAGATAACACAAGGCGCAACGTCAGTATTAAGTTTTCACTAAGTTTAAACGAGCAATTTCTATGATGTATTTCACCATGTTGCGTTTACGCTTAACTTGATAGACGTTTTAGGATGGTCCCCTGAGCAGTTTCTTGGAATATTCGTCTGATAAAGCAATCGACTCAAATAAAACTGCAATGACGTTAAACAAGTTTCCCAAACTGCATCAGTTGATCTGTTCCTCACTGAACCACCATGATCAGTGCTCGACGGACTCGAGTACAACGAGCAACGGCGGCGACGAGGCGTTTCAGTCGAATCAAGAAGGCCGTGACGGTCGGGAGGACATCAACAGTTCTCCCTCACCGTCTTCGGGTGATTTTGCTGATTCGCCTGATCATCAGAGTCCAATTCTGGACGTGAACAAGGCTATGTTCGAGCTTCC